AATTTGACTATATATTTGAGATAGATATATATGAACAAAATTAGATAGATAGATTGATAGATATGAACAAATTGAGATAGATAGATAAATATATAGACAGATAGATAGATATGAACAGCCTAAGATAGATAGATAGATAGATAGATAGATAGATAGATAATAAACAAACCTCAGATAGATAGATAGATAGATAGATAGATAGATATGAACAAACCTCAGATAGATAGATAGATAGATAATAAACAAACCTCAGATAGGTAGACAGATAGATAGATAGATATGAACAAACCTCAGATAGATAGATAGATAGATAGATAGATGATAGATAGATAAACAAACCAGATAGATAGATAGATAGATAGATAGATAGATAGATAGATAGATAGATCATAAACAAACCTCAGATAGATAGATAGATAGATATGAACAAACCTCAGATAGATAGATAGATAGATTGATTGATAGATAGATAGATATGAATAGACTGAGAGAGAAATTCTGTTTTCCTATTGTATGAACGTGCATTTTTATGCTTTAACTTTCAAAATGAACTTTTATTGTTACGAATCTCAATTACGCAAGCTTCCTACAAAATTCAAAAAGCCAAATAATCTTATTGTTTGTAACTTGAAATTCAAATCTAAACTCGGCTTATGTTTCTAAATATTATGAACAAGGAATATTCAAATATTATTTGGTTAGAATTTCCCTATCTTTGTTGTATCAGATTTTAGTAACCCTCATTTCAATTTCAAACATTTTCTTGAATTTCATTGGTTGTTAAATATAAAATAAGCTTCGAGAAATATCTACGACAAAACAATCAAATTTTGTGCAAAAGTAGGCTCAGTTGACGTAAAAAAAATCTTTCTCAAATTCATCCCTAATTTAAATGTTTCAAGAAATCCTATTGGCTAAAAAATTAAAAAAAAAAAATACAATATTCGCCCACGCATTTCTCAGAAAAATTCGCAATAAGCTACCAAGCCCCGTTGAGCTGATTTCGTTGTTAAAAAAAAAACTATAAATAGAAATGACGAACGAATTTTCATCGCAATTGAAACGCGCGAAAGATATACACGTGAATTATGCTTCAGAGAGATGCCGAAGAAACAAAATTTCTTTATGAGAGATTAGAAAAATTTACACAACAAACCTTTTCAATCAATATCTTTTATAAAAAGAAAAAAAAAACAACTTTTCTCTAAGTTAAATCCAAACTTTTAAATCAAAGGCAGACAGCTTTTTCGACATTGAACATCTCCGAAACAGAAAAATTTTTTTTCTCTCAAATATAATTTTGCACACATCATTACAAACAAAGAAATTGTAAATTGTGTATACAAAATTTAATCTGTTGTTTCAAACATGTATTTTTTGTTGTGATTGAATATCGTTACCATTTGGCCATTTCTTATAATTTATGTTTGTGGATATTGCATATTTTATTTGCAGTACAATCTTAAATATTCACACATCCTTTCCTAGATCCACTACAAGGTCATTGCAAAATTTCGTGTCTGTTTTTCAATGTTAATATAAAATGACTGCAACTTGACACTTGGTGTTGATTTATAATTCAGTTTCTCAGCATTTCCTTCGTTCGGGTGTAGGTTTATAGATGAGTTCCAAATCGTTTACAATAGAATCCCCGACACCTGAACTAAGAAGGCTTTCCGGATACGAGGAATTGCTTACAAATTCCGAATAGGAGGGGTTACATTTAGATTAAGAAATAGGGTTTAAAATTTATTTTCAATGTTTTATAGTAAATAAAATAAGCTAATAGTGAGTGAAATATAACGGAATTGATTTTATGGAAAAAAATGTAATGTTAATAAATAACCACTATTTAGATTATTCGTACTACTGTCCTCATCTTTGTTGCCATATTTATTACAACGTTTCGGCAGTTGTACGCCCCGACCTTCTTCAGGTGGTTGGAAAGTTGAACTGAACATCTGTCTGTATTTCTGAGATGAGTTATTATGTACATTATTTATATTATTCGGACTATTGTCCTTATCTTTGTCGCTATATTTATTACAACGTTTCGGCCGTTGTACGCTCCGGCCTTCTTCAGGTGGTTGGAATGTCGAACTGAACACTTTATTTCGCTCACTGGGGTAGACTGTTCTAGTTCCACGTGCCATGTTTAACGGATTTCAGTTGTCAGTTATCTCCTGTTAATTTCCCTCTGAAAGTTCTCCACTGCCTTAACTGGGTATTGAACTCACACTCTTTGGGTCCTGTCACTGGATCTAACTAACGCCTTCATCCACTCTGCCATGTGTCCTTTAGGAAATATAGACAGGTACAAAACAAATAATATAACGAGGATTTTTTTAATCGCTTTTGCATGATTCTTTCTCTTCTAATGTCATTCTCAACTTTTTCCGCATTTCGTTTGGCTTTTGTTCTTGAATTTTTTAAACGTTTGTTATTGCAATCGTCATAGCTGAATGTTGGCTTTCTTTCCATAAAACAGACAACCTTTTCAATAGCTTTTTTTCAATTTCAGTCCAGGTTTCATCACAATCATGTTTTTATTTCCTTGTTCATTGTGACAGTGTGAATGCTGGAGAATAGTTTCTTTGAAAGATTTTATATCATACAATATTGACTTTCCTCTGTTGAACTCAGCCATTAGTTACAATGACCTTTCACCAGCGTCTAGTCTGTTTAAAATTTCCACTGTTTGCGATAACTCCAAAGTTGTTCTTTTCTTCTTATTTCCATCATCTTTTGCACCAATACAAGCCATTTAGGATGAAATAAGCATCAGCAATTATCCAAAGTGAATTTCCTGAAAAAATGTTATGGTAAACCCTCCTACAGTAGAATGAACTCTTCCTCCTCTCATAAATACTAAGTGGGGAAGTCGGTTGAGGAGCGTAGACGCAGTCTCTGACTGTGTGCGCGACTTCTGTGGAACTCCCTGCTTTGGCAGAGAGGAACCCGGACGAAGCTATGCCGAAGGGCAGAGTTTTGTCCGAAGAGGTAGACAGACCCTGAACCCGTTTATACCGGTTCTAAGGGAATATTTTGGGCCGAGCCTACGGGCTCGGTGAACCCACGGTAAACTTGGCCTTGTGCCACATACAACCCTTGTGGGGGGGGGGCTGTTAAATATAGCGTAGACGCAGTGTTAACCTACCGTTCGGACGTACACCTCTATCTGCTTATTACTAACACTCCTTGCTTTGTATATATCTGTTATTTCAATACACTTGTTCAACCTAACTTCGTCTTCTGGGTCTTTATTTCTGGCCCCTAAACAGGCCACAACAAAAACAGAAATTTCAAATCAGTTACATATCACCCAAATAGTTTAAATATACACATCAAAATCATGTCCGGATATGCGGGATTCCGGATATGAGGCACTCCGGATATGAGGGATTCCGGATATGCGGGATTCCGGATATGAGGCACTCCGGATATGAGGGATTCCGGATATGCAGGATTCCGGATATGAGGCACTCCGGATATGAGGGATTCCGGATATGCAGGATTCCGGATATGAGACACTTTATTTAGTACTGGGGAAGGTAAAGCTTGTTGGTTTATATTTAATTTTATTTTTAAGCGTTTCATCCCAAGCAAGCCACTAGCATGCAAGGGGTTACAGAGAGTTAGAGCAAGAGCAAAGAGAAGTGATAGAGGAAAGGATGAAGAGAAGGATAGGGGATAGATCAAGGCATCTGGAGACGTCGATTTGAATAGCTATCGGGGAAACAGGAAGAGGGAAGGGAGTTCAACAGGTGAGAAGTGCGAGACATGAAGCTATTGGAGTAGAAGAGACGGCTACATTTAACAGTTTCAACAGTGAAAGGGTGAGAGCATGATGCCAGCCTAGTAGAACGCTTAAATTCATGAAGTCTGGGAACCAGCGAAAGCAGCTCATCGGAGCAGTTACCGTGAAAGTATTTGTAAAAAAAGACAGAGGGAAGCGACGGCAATGTCTATGAGAGAGCGGCTGTGGACGAGATGCCAGATCAGGGCCAATTATATTGCATATCCGTCTTTGGATTTTATCAGGGACCTTGTGACAAACAGAAGGGGATCCAGACCATATATGGCAGCAATACTCCATGCAAGGGCCAATGGTTGATTTGTAGATTTGAAGGATTGACTCCGGCAAGAAAAAATTCCTGGGAGCCAACTTTCCTTGAGGTGGACGAAGCTAATGTATTTGGTCTATTTCAGGTCAGCAGTACGTACTTCGGGAAAAGGTAAATAAACATTTGAAAAGTACTTGAAAACTGATGAATGCAGAGCTATATTGGATAGCCGGTTTCTAGGTTGGGTCCTTGATGGAAAAGATTAACCCACATGACTGACCAGGCGAAATGTTTGCAACTACCATTGTAGGAAAAAGAATTACAGGTGCCTTCTGAGTGGATAATAATGTCAAAATACCTTTTTTTTTTAAATCATTTCACCCCCAAGCAAGGCGATAATGCGACTAAGACGCAACTGAGACTGAAAAGAAGTGCGATAACTTTAGTGAGGTGAAAGAACAATAAAAGAAAAGAGTCTATGGCTTTTTGAAGATTGCTGGTGGCAGGGAAACAAGAAAACCAATTAGATTTATTCCCAGCGACAAGCGTTAGAAAAGAGACTATTACGGTCACGTCTAGCTAATTCAACGCTAAAACTTTACGACCTAATTGCCAATCTAGTAGTGCGTTGAAATTAATGCGATCAAGGTAACAAGGAGCAGATCTCAGAACAAATGCCATGAAAATATTTATAAAAAAGACAGGGTGGGGGACTATGTCACGGCGGTGAGAAAGTCGAGATGCCAGGTCAGAACAAATAACATCACATACCCACAGATATATAGCAGAACCAAACCAGATAAGACAGTATTATTCAATGCACGAAAGCATGATAGAATTATAAATGGGTAAGATGGATTTTGACTAGAAAAAAATGCCTGGCACGACAAAGTTATGTTTCCTCTCAACAGACTCTTAACAATTTATTCAATGTAGTCACTCGACCCCGTGTCAGCGGGAAAGGTGAGCCCAAGAAGGCACAATGAGTTGTAGAAGGCCAAAAGAAAAAAAAAGTTCTCTCTCGTGATTAAAAAATAGTTTCGTTTTGGAAGCTTTAACATTTACAGGCCATTCCTTGCCCCACTTAACAACTGATTGAAGGTAATTTTTCGAGAGTAGCTGCCAGTTTTTCTTTTTTTTTATTGGATCTGTCGGACTCACTGTCAAGCCGGGTGTAAATAGTTGTCATCAGCATACGTACAAATTTGGGAAACTGGCGACCCCGGGAAGGTCGTTAAATGAAGATTAGAAATAACTTCGGTTCAATCATAGAGAATTGAGGTGACCACCACATTAATGTGAACTGATCTAGAATAGAGGTGACAGG